TTTATATCGAAAATTGTATTTTTCTTGTCTAAATGAAATTTTCAAAATTGATATTTGCAACGAATGTTTCGTCTGAGAAAAATTAAATATTCTTGATCGTATTAATATAATAAATTGAAATATATAAATGTTGGTGTAATAAATTGTTGTTTCAATGTTTATTGTTATTTATTTTCACGGACGGCGAGTCCGTGGCTTGACGAACCAGCATTTTTAACTCCTCCAGATCGAAAGTCTCCGATTCCAACAATCGTTCGATGATGCGCGTCGCCCTGTAATTATAAAAGTCATACGATTATTATTAATCGTGAGAAATTTAATCTTTCTATTACGTAAATCAGAAATCGTAGTTTTCTCACATGTCTTGACTTTTGGCTTCCGGTAGTCGCGAAGGTAACTCGCCGGCTTTAAATTTTTCATATACCTGTAAAAATTTTTTGTTTTAAGAAATTTTGGCAATTAAATAAAATTATCTTATTCGCATTTGTTAAACTTTATAAAACAGGATCTTCACAATCACCTCTAACGCTCGTTTAACAACCTTTTCATCCAAACCGGCACTTCGCGCAGCTGCATGTGCGAAACTGCGTATCACATGTCCGCTTGTTAAACTATATAAATATGCCACGGAGCCGTCTTCATTTGCAACAAACTCGAAAGTCTGTATAACAAATAATAAAAAAATTGAAAAAATAATTATAATTAAGAAAATATCACTTTGAAAATAAATGTCCGAGAATGACTGATTCATGTCTTACTTGCTCTTCAATTATCGGACTTTGTGACAACATGTTCGTCACTCGATGCATATGCGTAGCCACAAAAATATGCGGACAATTAACCCCTCGTTCGACGAAATTATTCAATACAGCGGCGAGTAATGATAAGCCACTCACTTCGGACGTTCCGTTTCCAAACTCGTCCAAAGTGACGATGGAGTTCGGCGTGGACGCGTAAAGAGCGGAGTTTATCTAAAAAAAATCAACAATAAATCCTTCTCGAAGAAAATTTATTAATTAATTTAATAAGCTCAGGGAATCTTATCTTCTCGAGAACTTTTATTACGATTCCGAGACGTCTATCTCCTGGAGCACAGTATTTATTTACCTGCCGCATATCTTCCAGGAACATGCTCGTGTTTAGAGCGATGCTGTCGACAGATGTAATCTGAGTTAAAATATGAGTGACTACCCCTATGGTGGCCGATTTGGCTGGTACGAAGCAGCCGATGTGAGCCATAAACACAATCAGCGCGATTTGCTTGAGATAAGTGCTCTTGCCGGAAGCGTTCGGCCCGGTTAGGATTTTCACGAGACTCTTTCCATTTCCGGAATAAGTGTCATTCGGAACAAACGTTGTTAAAAATTCCTGCAAGGGGTGCCGACCCTGTTCCACCGCTATGATCTGTCGGTCCACCACGTTCGGTCTCACGTAATTATATTCTTGCGCAACGATGTGAAACGCTAATAGTCTGCAACAATTGTGAAGAATATTTCAAAAATTATTTCGTCGCTTACGTGAAATTTTTAAGAAATTTATGAGTGTTTCTTTTTGCCCGATTTTTATCTTCTTTTTTTTTGCATTTATTAATTCTTTCGCGAAAAATTCGTAAGTGACTGATCCACTTACGTGTCTAATTCAGCGCAGAGTTGAATCGCGTTGAAGATCGATGCGGCGTGCTTGTTTATATACTTCACCAGCTTCAACATGATGTAACTTTCTCGCTTATTTATCCTTAACATTATATCACCTATGGTTTCGTCCAACTCTGAAAAATTTGATTTCAATTCACTAAATCGCACGCAGCACACGGAAAGATGGGTGTCATGGCATGTGAGATCTAAAATTGTTATAAAAATTGGAAAAAAATGAAACCTTTGGCGCTGGGACTCTTATAATAGCGTATATTGTTGCTGACGAATTTGAATTCTAGATTTTCGAAATCGACATTTTCGGCTGGCGACGGATTCCACCCGGTGATCGCTAAGAGATACCCGATATTTGGTATGTACACCATTTTGCAAGTCGTCACCGAAGGTGGAAGATGATCCTTCATATCCTTTTCTCCCATTTGTGTCAAAGTCTCGGGCAAAGTGCTCCTCACGTGATGCACTACATCCCGATGGAATCACAATACACAATCGAATATATGCAGAGAAAAAAAACAATTTCGTTAAAGTATCTAAAAATTTGGTCAGATGTAGAACTAGTGAAAATAATTTTGTTAGACAATCAAAATATTTGTTGCTAAAAATTTTTGCATTTTCATATTTAAGAATGCTTGCATAATTATTGTGATGACCCAACAAAATAATTTTTAAATCTACATCTGGTCAAATTTTTAGACACTTCAGAAAAATCAAATTTGTTTCTGCATAATATAATATTCTCGAAAGTAACATTATTATATTATTGTAATTACATCAAATCGGCTTACAGTTATCTAAGTGCGAGTCCACATTTGCGCGTACGATGAAATCATTTTTAGATCTTTTCGCGCTAAGGTCCACTATGTACTCGATGAAATACTTGACGTAACGCACTTCTTTCGTGACGCTGTCGACGATCCTGTGGAACAGCCGTACTTTCTCGCGATGCTTCTCACATATGTCGGCGATGTAGATTATGGAAGAGATCGTCTGTGCGGCGTGAAATATAAGATAGAAATAGTGATATGCGCGCATAATGGACATATTGAATAAATTATTCGATTAAAACGCGATTACTGAAAAACTAGTAAACCTTGTGTAATCGTCGCCAGTCGGGAACTTTAGCTTGCTGCGCTAAATAACGATCCAGAATAACGTTAGTCAGACGGTAAACGTGTCTTAAGCACGACGTCAAATTTTCGACGATACTTTGGTTATCGGGATTCAAGCAAAATTCGATAACTCCGAATCTTTCATTTAGGATATCGATGTTTCGCGTTGGCTGTCGCAACGTTTTCCTAAAATCCAAAATTAAATCTCAATATAAAATAAGTATAAAACGAATAGTTTTTCTAATGTATCTGAAAGTTTAATGATGTCTCATGATAGATTTATGGAAGAAGACTAGGATGTGGCACTACTTGCCACAAAAATTGCATTCCAGGTCGGGATTGGCAACGATTCAGAAGGATGAATAAGCTGCCACTTTGCTTCTTCGCTGCCGCGTCGCCACATTTAAAAAGGCTTGGATGGTGCCTGGCGTGCACGATATTCAACGCCTCGTAAGTATCGTCATTCATCATGACGATGTCTCGTCTATGAAAAATCCCGTACAACAAAGAATATACATTTTTGAAAGAAAAACAACGCATATAACGCAGTTTGTTAGAAATATCTATCTATCAAAACCAAAGTCAATAAATCTAAAACGATAAATAAAATCTTTGTTTAAAAAAATAATATGATGACTAGAGAGAGATTTACAAAAATATATTTAAATATAAATTCTTAATAAAAACTCGAATTTCTTTATTTTCATGTCTAATGATTAACCTTAATCTCGATTCGATTTACTTTTTATTTCTTTTCAGTTCGAGGAATTATAGAAAAAGATAAAGGGTGAATTAAACCGAGATTAAATTTGATCTACGCCGAATAGAAGTGGCCATCAGAGAAATTCTCAACGAAACAAACTAAACTCCACGATTGCGCATCCATCAATCTGTGTACCGTGTCTAAAGTATTAATTGCCGAGCGCGAGATTAGAGGGACTCACAACGTCACGCTCGTCAGAGACGCGAAGCCAGGCCTGCCGGAAGGATCCAGCGCGATATTGCTCCAATGCTGGTCGATATAGATCAAGAGCAGGCCCAGCGCGTGGATCATGACGATCGATTTGAAGTTCAACAGGCCCCGCAGGAAGATAAGCCTCTCGACGTTGTTGGCGTTCGCCGGCTCCGAGCGGAGCTTGAGACATCGTACTCTGTGATAGCATCTGTCGAAGCCGTGCTCCCTCTTCCGCATCACCCTCAGCGAGACCTGTGCCGGCCCCACGCCGCTCACCCCCGACTCGCTCCGATCGCTCGACATTTCCGACGTTACCAGGGCCTCGATCGCCGTGAGGAACTCGTCGGACGTGCCGGAGATCGTGATGACGTGGCGCGGCTGGCACTGCTTGTACAGGGCCCTCGCGATGTTAAAGCGAACGCCGTCGTCGTAAGTATCGTCCATCACGAACAACTCGGACGTGAGCATGTTGTAGTAGGCCGCGCCCAATTGATTGCACGACCAGATCATCGCCAAAATGATCTGCGAACGGACGCGACTTGGCTTTACATAAAATTCGCGAGGCGATTTCCTCCAAAATTCTCCTGATAACGGACGGTAAAATGTAGTAGTTGTCGACGTTAACGAGACGTCTGTTGTCTGCTTTCCGCGCGAAGCGAAGATTAATGGAACTGAACAAAGGAATGAAATGGAGAAACTGCTGGGAGTATTGATATTTATAAAATTCTAAAATCAAATTCGAAATATATACGAGCCTCGTCCTTATCCGTAAAATTATTGCTTCGCACTGTAGAATCGCCTATGCTCTGTTGTCTCCCTGCTGCCGCACTTGCTGATTGCGATGTTGGAATATTTATAGCAAAGTCTTCTTCATCGCTACTAATTTCGTTCATTATCGACTCAAATTGCACTTGCCTAAAGTAAAATGTATATTAATATTTTTTTTACATAAATATTCAAAACTGTTGTGTTGTTTCGTTCATACTTTTAACTCCTTTATAATCCAAAACTATTAATTTTTTTAATTCTACTAACATTATAAAGATAAAAAATATTTCTACTGACACCCTACAAAAAATAAAATTTGTAAAATTAATTTTCATTAGATTTAGCTATTTCATAAAACAACGCAATTTATTAAAAAAAAAAAAATAATGAAAGCAATGAAAACATACATATTAGCTAAAGAGGTTGTCGATGAGAAAATATTCTTTGAAAAACTCGGTGAATCCATTTTTCATCGTTCTTCGGATTCCAATCGAGATATATGAACAAGCGACGAAGAAAAAATGACAATCACCCGCGTTCAAAATCGATGTTCGTTCGATGTCTAATCTTAAAAATTAGATTTCAAGATAATTCCGAACGCGAGATCAAAGATCAAAAATCCGATCAAAAATCAAGCGCAAATTAACATCAAGTTGCGAAACCGTACAAAAGTTAAGGACAAGCTTTCTCAGCAGCAAATACCAATGTGAAAGTTGCAAACTTCACGTGATTCGACTTATCTCGCTCATAACTTCAGCCTGCTGGTGATGGGGTGGGGGAAAGGATGAAAGACGAAACGCACGCAGTCAATAACAACATTATCTTTTGTTTGATTACATTACGTGAGCAAATATTTGCAGTTCGCCTGCAGTTGTTACCTGTACATAATTACAAGATACTGCCCTAAACCTGTAAGTTTGAGTAAATGTATTACATACCCGGTATTATTGGTATTTTCCACGCGACGCGCGCTTTTACAACTGGCTATAAACGACGCGCATCGCGTCGCGTCGCGTCGCGCGCGATAAGCTTATGGATCTTTGATTCCGCTTCTGTTTTGTTAATACTTACGACAAACATAAATAGATGAACGTACCGAGAGCCGTACGGAACACATTTGGTTAGGAGTTAGCTCGTGTTACTTGTTACACATCGCGTATGGTATATTACTCGACATTTAGTTTCACGTACATGATGCTGCGCACGACAGACGATCGCGCTTACGACGATACGATCGTTGTGTACACTCGCAGAGAGCACACACGCACGCAAAACTCTCGCGGAGAGGATCTCTAAATAAAGTATAAAAAAAACTATTTCTCTTTGTAAATCGGTATAAAATCTCCGTTTGTAAATTTTCCTTGTTGTAAAGTTCCTTAAAAATCCTCCGGCTAGTGGAAAAACGTGAGCGGTAAGATTCTAATGATAAAAGAATCAGCCAATCGAGGATGATCAAAGATAAGACTGAATTATCATTTAAAATTCTAGATTCTACGATTCATTAATTTGCTCATTGCTTAAGTCTTATCACTTACGTTTTTCTCTCTATGTGCCACTTAGCCTTAGTCTTAGTATTCAACGGATTGATGTACGCGAAATGTCGAAATTTTACGTGGACTCGTATGCTTGATTTTGGACTTTGTATTGCCTATATATTAGGACGTGTATCGCAAAACAAACTTTCCAGATTCAACATATCGCGTACATCAGAAAGTATGTTGATGATGTACATCAGATTTTCTTTGCGCAAAATTTTGTTAAGATCTACAGTACTGTTTAAGATCCGCAGTACGGCTTCTAACTTGGAATAGGCGGAGGCGGTTGGGGATTGAAAGAAATGGGTCGATAGCTCTTCTCCCTCACGAAAGGCTGCACTCCGTTCAATACGAAGTCGTTTATAGGGTTTCTCTCTTGTTTGATCGGCTCCACCGGGGTCTCGTCCTCCGTGCTGGCGGCTTCCTCGCTGCGTGTTGGGCTAGCCGACCTGGTTAATCGTTTCTTACTCTTTTCGCTCCATTTCGACACTCCCTCGTTCTTCCTACTTTGGCGTCAGCAGAGAACGCCACGACTCGCGACATATTTCGTCATCGCGTTACAACAGAAAGCCGAGATGGTATTTAAGAGACAAACAAACGACAACGTAATTTAATTTTTAAAAATATTTAAATCTAATTCCAAAATTTTACTTATATAAAATAGAAATTATAATTGCTCTGTGCAAAAAATATAAATTTGTAAAAATCGTCGGTATAAAATAAAAATATATCAGTTTTTATAGTAGGAACTTATAATGGAACTTTTTTTCAGCAGTGGAGGCAGTCTTCCTTTTCGAAGGAAAACCACTTTCATTTCTGAAGAATCAATATTTTACGATTGGTCGAGCACACGTGACGCCTCTGCTGTATTTGTCAACGCGCTGAACGTCAAGGCAAACATCTGTTCTAGGCGAGTTGAGGATCTGGTAAAATATTAGCAATCCTTATACAGACGCAAGGCCCAGAGAATGTTGGCCGGCGTTCAACGCGTCGGAAGATAAACCAAAACGCAATATCGCCGAGCGATGATCTTTCTCTCAAACATAGGTAACGCGTTCGACAGTCGTGATGCGTTGGTTTACCCGTTTCTCGCACGATGCTTGCCATTTTATATTGCCATCCTCGCCCAAATACGTAGTTAGAAGCGCGATCATATTTGCTTGGCTTGGTTTAATGAAGCGTTGTTAGATGACTAGAGGTGTTAAGACTACTTACTTTACGCCCACCTTAAAACCTGCGCATGATAAAAAATCAGAAAGCCAAAAATTAATAGTCGCACGATACGCGCGAGTTCTTACCTACGAGTGCGATTAGTAGATTTTAATTATTACTATGTCTAGCGGACTCGTACTCATTAACTTGCAACAAACACTTGTAAGAAAAGCTGCCGCATCAAACATCGATTGTATTATCAATTGAATTATAGCTGAGATGAGTTTTATGCACATTGAAACGAGCATAGAATATTAAAAAATAAGTCTGAAAAATTCCATATAGATTCCATTTCTCTTGACTCTCAAGAAAGCAATGGAAAATAATAAAGTCTTTAATGTAAATTATTAAAACAAATAGAACAATTTTAATTTCTTTACTTAAAAAGTAAAAAAATTCTGAAAATCACGAGAAAGAAACTCATATTTGTAACTTTGATTTATTAGGCTTAAACATGAATTATTTATCGTTCATGCTCGCTTCAGTGCACGGGGTATCATAAACGTTATTCGAATCTACGAGAACCTTCCGTTCAGGCGTTTTGCGTCGACATTATTATTATTTCGGGAAACATTCTCAGGGGACGGGGGGGGGGATCGGTTACCTCAAGCGGAAGTCAAGGGGACCAGATTGTATCGAACGTACCTAGACCGTAGAGGCTTGCTCTTGCTGACAGCTTGTCTGGAATGTGGTCTTGTATTCGGTTGCGATAGCTCGCTGTCGCTGCTCGCTAAAGAGGATCTCGCCGCCACAGCCCCATGAGCAAAATCTTTCCTGTTGAATAACGCGTCGGAGGATTATTCGCCATTAGCGGTTTCGTCTCGCAATCGCAAACTGTTGCGCGCGAGCCTAACGTAGCCGCGAGCACGTGAGTGAAAGTGAATTCAAAGACTCCTCGGAATGACGGACGCTTTGTATGTACATATTGCATGGCGGAGAAGACCTTTACTCTTCCTAATCCTTTTGCGTAGCCTATGTATGAAAACATCGCGTTCACTTTTCACTTTCCTCCCATCGAACGTTGCGTGAATAAATACAAGAATTGAAAACGAACAACAATTCTGTCCAATTATTTACACTCCTTTAAAAACCCATTTTAAATAAAATATTTCCTTGTTTATAATTTTCCTTTTTCATTCACTTCAAATGTAGACATTTTAAATTATCGCAAGAGATTTTTATGCGTTTCCGAATCGTGAATGGATTATATGGATTATCAAAACTATATGGATTATATGGATTATCGAAATTCAACTTCTGTTTCGAAATCAATTTTGAGTTTGTCACGCTTACCTGTAATTGTCGGATCTGGGTGTAGAGCTGAGATTCGCAGTTTTGCCGACGTTCGAATGCGCGTCCACAAAGACAGGTGAGCTCTTGGGAATGTCGCATACCACCTTAGGATGCACCGTGGTCTGCTTGTACTCCAGATGTGACGATGACGACTCGGTGGGCGCCCAGTCGTAATATTTTGGCCGGTAATCTTTGTACTCCCTCGGTTGCTGTTGATGTTGATGTTGTTGCTGTCTAGAATCCACGCTGGGCGCTCTCTTACGTAGATATTCATCGCTGCTGACGCTATTCTTTCGTACGGTTGTAAGTTTCGCCGGTGGGACCGACGTGGGTGATGACGCGGATGACGATGGCGCGCCATCCGGATCTGCCCGAGATAACTGCGAATTATCCCACACAGTCGGCAAGCTGCTATAATTGAGACAGATTATCAATAACAAATAGTCCATAATCCTGAAAATTAAAATCATTAACAAGTTAAATCTTAAAAAGGTCTATTCAGTTTTAGAAGATTTCTGAAATATATATTTCCATCGAAAACTACATTTTTTTTCTATATATATTTTGGTATTTTAAATATTTTATTTATAGCTAATATTTATACCTAAACAATCCATCTTAGCAAAAAAATTTAATGTATCTGAAATTTTTGAGCATTTACATACTTTTATATGATTTTAAAATCTTACTTTAGATTTTCATCCATGCTGTACAAGCGAAGTTGCTGCCTGATGTTCGCCTTCTCTCTGGCTCGTTTTCGCTGGAACTCCTCCTCTACCTTACGCATCGCTTCCAACTCACCTTTCCTCTGTCTTTCTTTGGCTTCCGCCTCCCGCGATAGCTTTTCCGCTAGCCTGCGCCTCTCAATCTGCCGCACAGTGCTCTGGAATGTAAACCTACGACCCTTCGAGTTGTTTTTCAATGGTGGTTTAACTTCCGACGCATCCTCCTTGATGTCATCTTGTAGATTCTGTTGATCAATGGGCGAAGTACTTCGTTGTTTCATCTCGGAAACATTCTCGCATGATTTGGAATACCTATTATTCACCTTTCCATCATTCGCGAAAGGCTTATCTTTCAAAATGATCGGTTCTTTGGAGTGCTTGTTTGTCTTTTCTGAGTCCTTGTTTAGTTTCCTGAATTCATCCACACCGTTCTTACGATATTTTAATCCGGAACTGTTACCAGAATTTTTTTCATTATCTGCAGCCATGTTTCTATAATTTAAACTCTGGGACTGATACTGAGAGTCATTGGACTCGGGCAGATACATTACATGACCGCCGGAAGCCAAATACGAGAATGATGGTGGCTTCATGATCACGGGGAAATCACCGCGATCCTCCAGGTCTTCTACCAAAACTTCATCGTCATCATCCTCGTCATCAAAACCCGGCTTCCAGCCGGGCGGCGAAGATCGCGTCGCATCCGTAATCTGAGTATGCTGCAGCGATGTGGGAGCACTTGTCGACAATAGCCAATTATCATCGAGGACGTCGCGAGTGCGTTTCCTTTCTATGTCCAACGGTCCGAGTCCGAGGGCACCCGACACCGATCTCTTTAGTTTTTGCAGCGAGTTGAAGGTCGAACCCTCTTTGTTTTTCAAATCCGGATTGTACAGGTACATGCGATTATCGTCGCGCGGTAATGATAACGAAAACACGTGCGCTCTCGGCGGAAATTTCACCGGGGTCGGCATCGGTGGTGGTGAATCCACTCCAGCGTCACTACTGGACTCCTCGCCTAGATCCTGCTGCGGGGTCCACGTCGGTCTCGTCGTCTGCGTCTTCAATCGGTTGTTATTGGTGTTGGTGCTGACTTCCAACGAATCGTCGTTGGCCGCACCGGCATCCCCGGATATGCCGGAATCGCCCGACTTATCGTGGGAGCTTCGCGGACCGAGCGCGATCAGCGGCGGGGGCGGCCTCGACAAACGTTCGATACGCTCCTCGAACATCACCTAACATCACGATAACGCAACAATTTTAATCAGGAGTGTCCCATAAATGTCTCTCAAAATTTCCAAAACTCTATTTTCAGATTCATTCACAAATTATTTTTAATCGTAATTTTGATTGTTTTGCACGCTTACCGGAACTTCCTCGCTCGCCGTGCTCATAGTTGGCCCAGGTGCTTCTAGCGCTGACAATAGTCTCCACGCTGCCGATGGCGAAAATCGCGGAATCTCCAGTTGCTTCTTGGGTAACGTGGGTCGCAATTTTAATGAGATGTCTTCAATTCCGCTTTTATTCTAAAAAAAAATTAGCTCTATAAAAATGTATTCAAACACTTCATTTTTAAATTTAAAAAATTATGCTAAACACCAATCTTGTAATTTTATTGATAGCGTTATAAATAAAAACATGTTACTTACATCATCCGTATAGTCGTGACACTCGATCGATCCATTGATCTCTCTAATCTGCAGCCTAGATTGGATCTGTTCCATGTGCTGGTCCACACAATTCCGCGACTCATTCGACAACGCTTCGTCCATGCCGAAATAGAAGGTCTTCGGTGCAGATTTCTCTGGCAACGGTAATCTGAAGAAATGTTCGAGAACATTAGATTCAGTACGACGAATGAATTAGTCGATACTTGTTCGTTGTCAGACTAGAAAAAACTAATCGCGTAGCTATCACGCATCCGCGTGCACGCACGAGACATTCATTGATAAGGGAAATAATTAACGGAATCACCAGATGCACGCGCACGCATCCGTGACTCGCGAGTGAGAAATAAATCGATCCGAGATGCGAGAGCAACTTACACGTGCCAATTTTTCTCGCGGACGACTTCCTTGGCTTCTGGTTTCCTCGCGAGCTTCTCTTTGGATTTCGCGTCTTTCTTCTCCGCTGTCGCGGAACCGGGAACAGGTTCGCAGGGCCATCTCTTCTCGTCTGGTGCGCCATCAGTATTCCTAGCATCGCTCTTCCGCCATCTACGATCGGAATCTTTCTCCTTTTCTCTCTCTTTGGCCTCGCTCGTTCGCTCGGGCGTGCTTTCCCTCCCGGATCCCTGTCCGCGAGGATCTGTGGTCCTAATGTAGGGCCTCACCGGACTCTCCGACCTGGTTCTCCCCGAATCCGCCACGTTTTCGTATTTCCGGTTCTTGGTAATGCTCTTTGCTCGCTGATAGTCCTCGAGAAGATCCCTCCGTTGCTTTTCCGATGGAAACCTCTCCTCCAAAGAGTGCCCAACGGCGTCCAAGCGATCCTTGGGAGTCTTCCGAAGAGGATCTTTCGGATGCACCGCGGAAGATTCGTCGAACGTTGTCGATTTCTCGACGAGCCGTCTTTTTCCACCTGATACTGCCTCCGCTTGCCTCTCCTCCGTGTAATCCTTGGTCCTTCCGGAATCGCGAGCATTCCCTTTGCGCTCGTCATACGAGCTATGTTTATTTTCGGATCGACCGCAACGATCGGTCAACCGCCTCTCTTCGGTGATCTTGTCCTCAATCACGCGCTCTTCGGGGCAACTCTCCTCGTTTTTCGCCGATCGTTTTTCCGGCCTTTTCGCGTCTTCGGTCTTCGACTCCTTCGCGCATCGATCGACGTCGCTGTTGCGCTCCTGATTCGACTCGACAGAGGACCTGCCGCCGCAATTGAGCTTGTTGCGCACTTTCCTGGCTACCTGCATCAACTCCGCTTGAAACTCCGGGCTGCTCATGCTCCTCTGCAACGTGTTCTTGCCATCGAAGATCCGCGAACGCCTATGCTCGTCTCGGCACCAGCGATCCTGATGCGGATGGTTGCTCTGATCGCGCCAGACGAGTCTGTTCTCCTTGTTGGCGGCACGCCCGTCTTCGCCCCGCCATCGTCGCTCGTTCTCCAAGCCGCCGCCGCCGCCGCCGCCGCCGCCGTTCTCGCAGCGTTCCGCGATGGCATGAGTCTGCGATGACGAGGAGGAAGATAACCAGTTGACCTGCGCTCTCTTCGTTTCCGCTCGCGTCTTGAAGAGACGCGATCGCCTCGGCGGTGGTTGAATCTCTTCCTCGCCGCGGCAACCGCTCGGTCGATCCTGATTGGATTCCGTTGGATACCTAGAGATATAGTTCCTATATCGAGATATAATACCGATGTCTTAATGAAATAAGGAAATGTTATATTAGATAAAAAGAAGCAAATATTTTTGATTATTATTGACATCATGAAAAATTATTAAACTACTTTGTTATTGTAAGGCCCAGTTAATCGGCACCAACGTTATTTTAGCTTTAAGCGAGACTTAATATGTGTCTGACTTTATCTATTTAGAAAAAAAAAGACAAAGACAGATATAAGTTTAAGCCTCGCTTAAAGCTAAAATAACGTTGGTGCTACTGGGCCTAAATCTAATTTGCAGAATTATCAGCATTTAAAGGAATAATATTAATTCCAATTATGATTCCACTAATTATGATATTAGAATGAATTCCAATTAATTCTAAGTAAATAGAAGTAACAAAAAAAGATACGGGAAATTCTCAAAATATCCCTACCTGTATGAGTCTGGGGAGGACCCGTCGATGACGCCGTTCAACGGCGGCGGTGGTGCCTTATACTTCTTCTTGCCTTTGTATCGGCTCTCTCGCTCTCTGCACTCTCGCTCGGGATAATGCCCACTTCCGCAATGTCGATGCTCCATCGCGTGCTGATGCTGCTGCTGCTGCTGCTGCTGCTGCTGCTGTTCCCGTTGCAGCGCGCCGTCTCCCGCCCCATAGGCGAGTACCGCAGATCGGGCTCGCTGCCGAATCTCTTGAGCTCCTGCATCTCGTTCTCCATGCAGCATCTCGATCCGTTTCCGTAATAGCAGCAATGATGCTCGAGCTTGCGGCCGCGCGACGCGCCGATGTTCGACGCCGAGGTGCTGCGGCTGCGAAATATTCCCTGCTGGAAGAAACGAAATAGCGGGTTTTGAAAAACCCCCTGCTCTGCCTTTGTTTTGTTTAATTATTTTTACAATGATCTCTAAATTCTTCCGGCTGCACACACGTGAGGCTGGGAGTATGCAAAATATTTACATCTGCCTCTCATAATAGAGGTTCTCGATTAGCGAGTTTATGCGTAACGGGTTAAGAGAATATTTTTTTTCTTTCCCCTCTTAAGTATTACATAAAGGTGGCGCGGTAAAGTGTTACGTTTATTCTTAGACCGCCGTTGATTTACAAGGCGTGCGCGACTTCCTTCTGATGCGCGTAATAAGCGTTATAGAGGACGGAGGCACCGTGACAAAGCGGGGCGGATGAGAAACCGTCGTCTTTGTGCGGCCGTCGGCACAAAGCATTCGATGAAGGCCGCGTGATACATTTCGCGAATTCACGGTAAAAAGCCGTGCCATAGAATAAATCTTAACCGGGTTACGATACACGGTGCCCGGCCAAAAGACGAATTCCGCACGGATGCGCATTACTCGCGTAAGAATCCTAGATGGCGGAAACGCGCGTCTCCGACAGACAAACAGATAGAAGAAGGACTGACTAGATGCAAAATCAGGAGATTGAGCCGAAACGAGTCGAAATAAGAAAAAAAAAATTACTTTTTCGGCGCTTTTTTTACGTACACGGCGAACTTTCACGCTGAGGCGATTCGGAGCAGAAAATATTGATCTTTTCGTTAGCTTTACTTTCGGCTGAATGTAATTTGCACAGAAACCTAAATAAATATTTGGAACAAAAGAAGAAAAATGTATGTTAATTACATGCACGCGTACTCGTTTTTCTTCTTCAGCTTTGGAATTCGATAAATTAGACGTACAAATTGGTACCGCTTACTGAGCCGCTATAAAATCTTTCTTGTTACAGAAATGGAGATATTTTTTTATCTTTCATCTCCTTTAGAATGTTTTTGTGGTCCCCGATTACCGGAACGCATCAACTTATTGAGCCGTTCCGAATCGAAAATCTACATGACGCACATATCTTTTCGTGGAGGCGAGTATTCCGATGGAGCGAGTATTCCGTTCTCAAAATGGATCGAAAACGAAACGTAAAAACGCACATTTCACGCGTTTTTTAAAAACGCAAAATTTAATAACAATTCATTTAATTCATACTAACTAGAGATGACTAAAAATTCTAACAAATCGAACATAATGTCATATCTTCAACGTAAGATTCAGCTAGAGAGACAATCTATTATCCAATCTATCGTTATTATTGCCCGCCATTACTGTTAGAACAATTAGAGAATTGTCGTTTGCCGTGAGAACCCGGTGGCTTCTGCGATACAAATTTCCGCGCACTCGCCCGCAAGTGCAACGGATCGTGCGGCGGCGGGCATTCCGCGGCACACGGAGAGCACGGGCGCGCCACGTCATCAGTGCGCGACTCGAAAAGCCGCTGCGAATCCTTACCTTATTAAGGTCGTGCGGAAGCGTGAGGGCCGGCGGCCTGCGACCGCTTATGGTTCCCCCGTTGTGAATGATGTTTCCATTATTGGTGGCGCGTAACCGCTGATTGGGCGGCTCCGGCAGGACCTTGTGCCCCGTCGGCTGCTGAGGATGATGCCTGCCCAGCTCCCGGGGGAAGGACTGCGTCCACCCGCGTCCGGCAATCTCCTGCGACGGCCCGTTGGACGCGCAGTATTGATGGGAGCTGCTGCCGTTGTTCCCCATTTCTATGCCGACCTGGCGTCTCTATGGCGCGCTCACGATTCGCCATTCATCTTGCATCTGGAAGGATCGGAAAGCGGGACCAATTATCTAACGTGCTCGCCTGAAATCCCATTGAGAGATACTGCGGAATCTAATTGGATCCGCAGAGCCGAGAATGGTACTATAAATCCGGAAATTTTTATGGGGGCGATAAGAATTACTGCCGCTTCTGAAGTATAATATCACTTTCGGAGCGATAAGATAATCGGTCGGACAGATCGTACACTCGCAGCGAATTTATAAGTGAATTCTGAAAAAGTAACGAGTCTTATCACAACATTGCGAGAATTAGCAATATGTTAATTAAGTAGAAGCGATATAATAATAAGAGGAAGATAATAAGAACAGGTATAATAACTAATTATATAATTATAATGGATCTTCGCGATAATAAACACAAAAGCAATTGCGTAACGCAGAAAGATAAAAATATCGCCTATGAGTACTGTAGAGAATATAATAAATAGAGACAAGCACTTTTATAGAGCGTTATGAATATAACATTCTATACGAGTCTGAATACTTTTTAGATGATCGGAGAGCGAGTTAAGAGGCTCAATTTGCAAATCAGTTCCAATTTCCCTAAAACCACCTGCGTTAAAAATACGCTTTTGCATACCAATTCGCTGGTGCTTTACATAAGACGATAAAGGATGCAATTAAACGTTAATGAGAGTGATGAATTTGCGATGTTGCGGTGTCCGCCTTGAATTCTCTCCGATAAGACTACTGCGTAATAACAAGCTTGTATTTTAACGTCCTGATACATTTAATTAATATTTTCTCCGCGAGGAGTATACTTTACGAGCCAACTCCGACGCCTCGATGGGGCTCATCAATGAAAAATCATTCCGCAGAGGAGTGCAGGGAGAAGCGTCGTCTCGTTTTTCTCTCACTCCTTTCGATAGAAGAACGAGAACTCGAGTATAAGATCAAAATGTTAATTCTACTGTTAATTCTTACTTATAATCTGCGTCTTCCCTTGAATCGTAAAAAAAAAAATACCGTTACGCTCAATAACTTTCTAACACCTCGTGCCGGATGAAGGACGATGGTTCGCGAGGCCATTGATGAGCGAGGAGTGCACGAGGAGGCTGCCGGGAGGCTGGGGGAGAGAGACGGAAAAAGAGGAGAGTAAACGCACGCGAGTTGACCGAACGATCCGAACGAGCAGGCCGATTATCTTAC